GGAATTTAATATAGGAAATTCCTATGCAATTGGTTATGGAAAATTCTTTGAAATTAGCTAATATAGCTTAAATTTTTTTTGTAATTACAAAATATGCTTTATTTAGCTAGTTTTTTAATGTACATTTATATATTGGTTTTATTAATGTTACATAGCCATTAAAGCTAAATGAGAGTATCCTAGATTTAATTTTTCTTAGTCCTGGCGGCTTCCTTGTAATTTCTATTCTTTGTCTTTTGAAGCGCCTCACGGACATTTTTGGTAAAGTCTCCGAAACTAGTGGCGTCAGACATGGTGGCTTCTGTAAATATAATATGTTTGTGAACTAAACAAATTCACATATAAGTACATACATACATAAACAAAAACAACGGCCACACGCTCTACTGTGGAAGGCTCCACCGGTAACACAATTATACGTTTAAATCTAGTTTTACTGCCACTATGTTAGAAAAACTATAGTAAACAATAGTTTTGTTATAAATCGCATTAAAAACAGTTAAAAACTTAGTTTTTTTTATTTCCGTCACCGTACACTTCTACTCAACTCGCCAAATTCAAGGGGTGGAGACGAATGACAAATGCATTCGATATCATTGTTGCATTACTGAGTTGCAATTTAGAGTTTCCTTTTTGATTTTTATAAACTTAAATTTGTTTTAAATTACTTTTTTTAAACCTACAACTAAATCTCTACCCATTTTTCAATATACTTACCATTATTTTAACACAGTACACAATAAACCACCTTTTTATTTTAAATTTCGATTCGATATAAATTTTAGATATCGAAATTTTTACAAACGTTTTTTTTTACTTACTTTTTGCATTAAAAAATATATATTTATATGCTTTTAAAGGTCATTGTACGTTACCCATTTTTATACCCGTTACTCGTAGAGTAAAAGGGTATACTAGATTCGTCGGAAAGTATGTAACAGGCAGAAGGAAGCGTTTCCGACCCCATAAAGTATATATATTCTTGATCAGGATCACTAGCCAAGTCGATCTAGCCATGTCTGTCTGTCCGTCCGGATGAACGCTGAGATCTCTATTAGAGCTAGGCTATTAAGATTTGGCGTGCAGATTCCCGCCCAAAACTGTGGCTCCTACAGTTTTAATGCTAGAATAAAAATGTTAACTGAAATGTATTGTTCTCATCAATACCTATCGATTGACCCAAAAAATGCCACGCCCACAAACCGCTCAAACTTGTGACGCCCACAATTTTCATGCTAGATAAAAAATTTTAACTGTCGAAAAAATTCCCCTGAAAAGCCTGAAAAAGTTCACATTGTGCAAACCCCTGAATATTTTTATGAAAATTATTGTGGAATCAAGCACCACATGCCTGAAGGTCCGACTGGGGTAGCCTTGTACGCAGCGTATGTTTGTTACGCGAATATGCCACGCCCTCTCTAACGCCTACAAGCCGCCCAAACCTGTGGCACCCACAATTTTTATGCTAGATAAAAAATTTTAAATGAAATATACTAGTCCCGTCAATACCTATCGATTGATCCAAAAAAAGTTTGCCACGGTCTAACACCCACAAACCGTCTAAGCCTGTGGCGCCCAAAATTTTCATGCTAGAAAAAACTTTAACTGAAATGTATCAGTCTCGTCAATACCTATCAATTGACCCAAAAAACCCTAACGCCCATAACGCTTAAATCTGTATAGCGCCTCATAACCATATATTGAAATCGCGGGTAGGTGGCGCATTTCAATCTCGCTTTGTTGCTTGCATATCTCCATTTCCCTTTTGTCCCTTTAGCTGAGTAACGGGTATCTGCTAGTTGAGGTACTCGATTATAGCTTTTTTCCTTGTTTTGTATTGAAATATAAAGATTTTTGGTTTAATTTAAGATACGATTGTGTGATACCAGCTTAGCATTCTACCATTTAAGATTAGAGACAAAGCGGATTTATTAAAAAATAAACCAAATCGGTTAGCTTTTGAAGAAAAAAACTGATAAAAACACAAGTTTTTCTAAATTTGTTTTAAGAGATAAATCAATAATTAAGTGCTTAAATCAAAATCAAGAAAGGAAGTTAACTTCGGCAAGCCGAAGCTTGTATACCCTTGCAGTTATATTTATTACATCTAAACAAACAAAAAAAGATAAAAACACCGAAACTATAATTTGTTTCATATTATTTTCCCACCAATTTTCCGATCGTTCCTATGGTAGCTACATGATATAGTCTTTCGATTTTGATAAAATTGAATTCGAAGTTAATTTAAAAATTTTATTTCCGAGGTTATACGTTAAAAAACACCAAAGATATAATTTTTTTAAATTTTTTTTTCCAAATATTCCTATGGGAGCTAAGATATAGTTTACCGATCCGGCTGGATCCGTCTTATATACTACCTGCAAAAGATATAAGACTTTTGGGAAAGTTTCAGCCCGATAGCTTTAAAACTGAGAGACTAGTTTGCGTAAAAGCGGACGGACAGACGGACATGGCTAGATCGACTCGTCTAGTCAAGCTGATCAAGAATATATATACCCTTATGGGGGGAAATCAATATACCCTCTGCAGGGATATAAAAATGTTGAAAATATAACTAAAAGAACATTTGTTTTTGATTTCCTATGCATTTTCTTCAAGACAAGTAAACGCAGTACTTGCCGTTTTTACCGTTCAATGCAGTCCCTACGGTTTTGAAAGTAAGTCATACTTATGCAAGTGGTATTCTAGACAATATAATCTTGATCGCTCATTTGAAATCCACATCTTTAAAGCTGTGAACCACTGCAAGTGTTTGACATACATACGCTTTCCATATAAAGTATTCGTACAAACATGTTCCGCAACGTTAAAATCATAATAGTGTTAAAAATCTTAACATTTTTTTTTTTTTTTTACAGTTAGTATGGGAGTTTAGAATAAGGTGACGATGCACAGGTAATTTTATAAATATGAGCATAGAAACTGGACTTTCTTTAGAGCCATGGCACCAACTGCTATAAAATGGTGTTTTACTACAACAAATGTTATTCGAACACAATTGGAAACAAATTTGTCCATTAAATAACATTTTGACTGTGCAATACTCACGAATAGATACAGCGTACTTTTTGTGCTATTTATATGATCTGTTCAATTTAAAACCAGATCTGAAGTTCACATTTTTTAGGTGTACAGTTTAATTCAATTTTTATTCCATTATTGAACATTTTCAAAATTTTTCGAAGGAAAAGTAGAAAATGTTCACATCTGCATAGAGTTTCAGTGTGTGTTTATCAGTTTGTCACCTTACCCTGCAATTTTAACAAGTGGAAAAACTATTGGTTTACGCCAAGAGCTGTAGTATTTAACTCCGATGGAATCCAATGGAATATGCTCAATAGATGTCAGTAACTTTCTGCTTTTAAACTTTTGAAAAAGATTAATTTTTGGATACGTTACATTTAAGAAACTAATCATTCGCCACTATACCCTACACTCCCTTCATTTATTATTCTTTAATTTAACGAAACATAATTTTTAAAAAATGTACATAATGTCCTAATTTTTCATCAGAAAGATATGCGTACCATTGCATATATAATAAGAAAATGGCGTGTTTTGGGGAAAGTACGTCGAATCTTGTACATATTCGAATACCCTTTACGTTTTTATAAATGCAGTCAACCCATTTTGCATCGATTGGGCTAATTTCCCTCCATCCTTCACCGTTATTTAGTTCCATGCCCAACAACAACGCATATCCTTCAATGAAATGGTGTGTAGGCTGCGCATCAGGACATCCCAAAAATGCTTGATAGCATTGAAATCTGAAATTCCGCTGGCAAATTTAGCTGGTTTTACATGAAATAAACAACCCAAGCTTTGGTTTGTGGGCACAATGCTTAGGATCGTTGTCTTGTTGGATCCAAAAATTACTATCAAGTTTCAGTTTTCTAGCGCCTTGATCCACATTTTCAATTAGGACGTCATTATACTTATTGTGATACATTGCGGATTTAAGAGAACAAGATTTTTAATCCACTGGCCGTCATACATCCCCAAACCATTTAGCCACCACCACCGTTTTTAAAAGTTGGGGCAAGGTTTTTTATTTCGCGGTCTATACAATTTTTGGGCACACGTGCCGTTTATCCTAACTAAATATCACGTTTTCCAGAGCTCCTTTTGCTAATTTTAGGATTTTTTTTTAGCAAATTGCATCCGCTTGATTTCGTTGACTTGCGAAATGCGTGGTTTCTCTCTTGCAGCACGGCTGTTATAGTCTTCTTGGAGATAGAAATCTCGGAAACCATTTTTCGATCCAACAGGATCCAGCAAAATTTGTGGGAAGTCCTGGAGCGCGGGATCCGCCTTCGCACCATTACATCGAAGGATATGCTGAAAAGTCATAGTGGAGGAATGGAATCAAATAAACGTGAAATAAGTCGAATCGATGCAAAATGGGTTGACTGAATTTATAAAACGTAAAGGGTATCCGTTTATGTACTAAATTATACATATTTTTCCAGTAATAAGTCGTTTTTTTTATGATATATACATTTGTACGCATACTATTTTTGATGGAATATTATGCCACTTTGTACATTTTTTTATGTTTAAGTTCTAGAAGTTAATGCGTTACATCAAAATAAAACTTAACAAATGCACTAATTGTAACCAAAAAAATCAAAAATTTACTTTACTTACTTTTTAACTTGAAAGTTGCGGAACATGTTTGTACGCGTACTTTTTCTGGCAAGTGTATATGGGAGGTTTTATATAAGCCTGGACCAAGTTTTGAATGGAATAATTTTTGTGGCAACTACAATTTAGAACAACGTACGATGATGAATAATGCAGGAATGAAATAGATTCGTGTTAAGATATGTACATATGTGTAAAAAGGCCAATGTGCGAAGTGGTGCCCGGGTTGATACCGACCATGTAAATACATACGTATGTATGCATATATGTACACATGTATCAACTGAATTCAAGTAATCCCATTTACTCAAATGTTTGAGAGGTCACATACATACGTTTAAGTGGCACCAAATTGTTATGTATATAATACTGTTGAAAGGAAAAACTGCACCTGCGTATAATACGTATTATTTTCGAAAATATGAGTTGTTTTATAATGATTGGCACCAACGATTATCGTTTACAAATACAAAACATTAAAGCCTTCAGATTCAAGTAATCTGTAAATAAACTTATACACATAAATCTTGTTGCAAGATCATTTAAATATAACTATAAAGAATCGAACAGTTAAGAGAGCTCGATACAATTTGTATAGTAGTGATGTATAGTAGTGATGCTGAAAGCATCGATTCCTCGAGGTTTTTCGATGTTTTTCTTGATATCGATGTTAACATCGATGTTTGACGAAACATAGGTCTCTAATTTCACAATATTGAGTTCTTGAGTCGCCGTTGGTTTCAAATATGTGCAAAAAATAGGAATCCTAAAGTATGTATATATATAAGTTTCAAATGGATATACATATATGACAAATTCCAGAATAACGACAAAAACTAACTTTTGCTGGAGGTACTTCTAAAAACTTAACAATAACGGTGTTAAGTGCGCAAAAGAATTAAAATCGTCTGAAAATACAACAAACATGAAAGATAGCCGGCTGCAATGCATAAAATAAGTAAAGATGACGAGGAAATGGAACAGCATGAACCAAAAAGGATTGTTATGGAAGCATTAATATTTTTATAATTTTAAGGTATTTCATTACATATCTAAAAAATTAAAAAATTGAAATGCTGCAAAAGCTTGTTTGTAATTATAGCCTAGTACTCACATCGACGAAAACTGCGAGCTTACTATAGGAGTGAGCTAGAGGCAAACAGGTGGTTAAAGCTTATCGTCGGGTCTGTTTTTCAGCGCGGTACTCAGATGAGCTAAGGAAACACCAGAAAAAATACCAGATTTCGCGAGTGAATTTTCGATGAACGCCGTTTGGCGCGGCCCAAAGAATAAGAAATTTAATCTTTGGCAGTGTTCGTGCAGAAGCGGTGGGGAATTTAAAAATTAAAAATTCAAGAAAAACACAAAAAACCGCTAAAGGAGGTCAGTGCAGATGAAAAAGGACGCATTATCCCAGCTGTTGCCCATTAATGTGGGACTTGACCGACAGGAAGCAAAACCACAACGGGACAAATCCGCAAAATCCGCGAATCTCAGTGGGAGGAAACATGGGATATCGCTCGATCTCCGACGAGCTCTCCAATGAGGACTCCACCTCCACCAGCTACTTGGCAGCTAAAGCGGAGATGGAGGACGCGTCGGCTACTGTAGGGAGGAGAAAATATGGGACAGCTGGAGGACCCATCACCAGCCATTATTGGCCAGCCTTTTCGGACTCGGAGCTGGACTACAGATGGCGCGGGAAAGATAGCGAAGCATCCGTGGGACGAGAAGGAAGCCTTAAACTTTTAATTTACATAAATAAAAACATTCGTTGAACAATTCCTTTATTTTTATTTTTATTTCCTTGTGCACCAGCAGACTCCTCTTTTTTAATTGCTCCAATTGAGTTGTTTTCCGTTTGGAAACAAGGCCAGCTGCTTGACAGTAAGACCATCGCAGGTGAAATTTGAAAACTTCGGTCACACTACAAAGAATAAGATTTTTCGACTAGTGAAACTCTTAGCCGATCTGAGTACTAGGCTTTAAGAAATACACAAGTAGGAAAGAGGCTGTAAAAAATCGATAGGTCGTTTAGGTGATTTTTGTACTTGACGCTTCGGATTTTTTTTAACAAAATGCATTTGAACTGCAATGGCTCCGCTTTAAGAAATATGTTGTTGGTGCTGGCCCCAGGAGCCTTACAACGAATCCGAACCCAGCAATTATCTCATCTTGAAAAAAAATGTTGCTGCTTATTAAGGAAATGTTTATGTCCTTTTTGGCAGGACCTGGAACCTGTGGCACCAAAACGATCATTATTTACCTAACGAAACAGCCAATTCATGGCGCATATACCTCCCAAATTGATTGCTTAAAATGGATATATACCTCGTTTATGCGATGGCATTTCACGCTTTCATGAAAAGGGCTTATTCGTGTGTGCATAAATACCGTTTCAGGATTTCGGCTACACACAAAAGTTGACCATGAATTCTACCTAAAAGCGTGGTATGGTATGGAACTTATAGCATAGAGATATTAGTAGTCAAAGAACAGTGTGCGAGGAAGGTGCTATAAATACTTAAAGGGTTCCAGGCGGTTCTAACTTGGAAAATTCTCGTGGCGTCACTGTGGCCCACAATAGTCCCTATTCATTTCACAAGCCTTCCCTGAATGGAAATCTTATCCTTGATCAATTTTCTAAAAGCATTGAAATAATCATTTGGCACTGAAAACGTTCCATATGTTTTCGTTCAAATTGTATTCAGTTTTGCGTTGTTTCGAATTTTTTTCCGAGCACCTAAGTTTTCACATCCACTTCCTTCGGATACGGTTTGCTTATGCCGATCAGCTATTTGCTTCAGCGATTCTCTATGTGAACAAAAAAAAAACGATTCAATGCGATTTTAAGCGGCCGTGTGCAAAGGGTATTGTTAAATAAAAATCGCAAATAACTCTTATTCACGATCCCTTTCTAAAACAGTTGCCTTAAAAAGTATAGCCTTGTACTCAGATCGGCAAAGAGTTTCACTGCTCGAAAAATCTTATTCTTTGTAGTGTGACCGAAAATTTCGAAGCTTACCCGCAATGAGGGTAGCATGGTCTTACTGTCCGGCAGCTTGGTTTGTTTCTATTGACAAACGAAATATTAAAGGATTTTAAAAAGTCGAATCTGGATCCATAAAGAAATAAAAATAAATGGAATGTTCAAAATATGTTTTTATTTATTTTAATTAGAAGTTTTAGGCTACCGTCTCTTGTCACGGATGCTGCACCGTTTTTTCAGCGTATGCCAACATGTGCCTTGAGTGAGTGCGAGACGGATTGCTAACAGGGTTGTTCCACTGAGGCTGCAGGTAGTCGCCCACCATCCTGTCAATTTCTGGACACCGCTAAAGATTAAATTTCTTATTCATTGGGCCGCGGCTAACATCGTTCATCGAAACTCACACGCTAAATCAGGTATTGTTTCTGGTATTTCCTAAGCTCATCTAAGTACCGAGTTGAAAAACAGACCCGACGAAAAGTGTTAGCCGCCTGTTTGCCTCTCGTTTACTCCTATGGTTAGCTCGCGGTTTTCGTCGATGTCAGTACTAGGCTTTTACAGTAAAAGAATCGTATGTGAAGACGATGTAGTAAATTCGTAACGTAAGCGGTTCCAAATTGTGCAAATTCTTGTGGCGTCACTGATTGGACCATAGTAATTCCTATTCCTTTTCATTCAATTAAGCTCTCATTCTTGCAAAAAGCTAAATATAAGAAGTTTAAATGCTAGCGATGAAGTTGTATTTAGGTTTTCGTTGTAACCCGATTTATTTTTAGGAATACTGAACTAGCTCATCCACCCCCTTCGGTTTCCGTTTATTTTCCTCCTGAACTTTTCATTTTATTTTTCAATTCCAAACGAAACAAGCAAGAAGGGTAGCCGTTGCTCATCTGATGGGGGGATAGAGATATACAAGCAGCAAAGATATTTTTTCCGGCGATTACAATACTTGGTACTATTCAAAAAGTGTTTACACTGGGTTAACTCCATTACCCCATTCTATATATGGGCACTATACCGCTGCGTGTTTGATTAGCTCAAATTTGGCATGAAAAATCACGACACTTATATTTATTAAAGCACAAAGTATATAAAAGTGGTTTTTTCTAAAGCTTCTGTGTTTTTCATTTTCAGATGAACTGTTTCGGGTTGGACTGCTTTCAAATGAAGTAAGAAAATAATCATTTTCAAAGCCGTGCCAATATTCATGAGGCAAAAAGATACTGAATATACCAAAACATACCAAACAAAAACCAATGACCAACTATTTGTAACATAAGTGAGCATCTTTTAATGAATGTTGTTCTGATGTCAGTTTTCCTAGCTATTCATATTTCTTTGTCTGAATTGGGAACTGATTTATGATTTAAAACAAAAAAAGATTAATTGCATAAGTTTGGTTTTCGCTGTTAATTTTATATTTAATTAATGTTGATGTGTAGTTTATTAATAATATTAATTACGGGCTGTTTTTATTATTTGCCCGCACGTCATTGTACCGTGTCTATCTTCACATTCGAGTTATGAGTTTAATATACGTATTGTCCATACGTTTTTCTAGTTTCGAAAACGAGGGACTTAAAAGATTATACTTTGGTAAGACTCTTCTTTCTTAGCAAAAAAAAGCTTAAATGTTGACCCACGTATATAAAACTGTTTGCGATTGCTCTTTCGCCAACAATTAACTATAAATAAACAAAATGAATGAGTTTTAGCATTTTACATCCTTTTCAAATCGCATTAAGCCGAATTCTGTTCGTGCCGTTACGAAAACCTTTTATCGGCCAAAACAAACCGAGACTGAAGAACAGAATGTAAACATATGTGAATATATACTAAATTGTATTAAGTGTGAAGATAATGTTATATTTTGCATTGTATTTTAGTGTGTACTTTCTATAATGTAACTTTATATTAAGAATCGATAAGATAACAGATATCGATTACATGGTGAACTCGATTGTTGAGAAGAAGTCTTGTAGACTGTATACAAGTGGCCACTTGTAATTGAAGAAGAAGAGAGAACACGTGGAACATACAAAAAAGAAATAGATATAAAATCATTAAATTAAAAAGCATCACTTACAATTCAGGTGTGGGGTGATTGCCCATAGCTTTCACATATAGTACCCATGTTGTATTCGGATATATTGAAGCAATCAAAGGAAGAGTTATGACAGCTATTTCGCGGCACCAGACAAGCAAAATCGTGTCTCAAGATCAAGCTGCGGGAGGCGACACCGACATACAAGACAAGATATCCCATGCAGAACCTCTTGTGCAGCACGTGTCTCAGATTGGACTGGATGAGCGCACGTTTCGAGAGGATCTGGCTGATGTTTGTCAAGGAGTAGCGGGACTTCAAACAACGCTTCGCGACATGGAACGGAACCAAATGGGTACAAAAATGGCCGCAAATTTTTCCCGGGTTGATATCGCACATATAATGGCGGTAGTGGATCCCTTTTCGGGAGAGGATGGCATTCCTGTCAAATTATAAATTGAAGAG